TACAACATTCGTATACAAGAAGACTATTTAGGGATTGGATAAGCAACAAGCTAGCATTGATTTAGTTCTGTTGCACCCTCATAACATCAGGAGTAAAGGAGAAAAAAAGTCTGGTAGACTAAGAGTATCTCTCATCAACTTTTGATACTTAATAGATGCATTCAATTAATGGATGTCATAGGATGCGTATTGTAGGCATATTATTTTAGATTGTAGATTAGACTTCTAAATTGAATCATAATATCGCTTTCATATGCAGTGTTGGACATGCAATATCCAATGCGGTCTGCATCAATGGAAGCGCGCTCCCGAGCGGTGAAAAGCTTGCTCTGGAAACGGATAAGAGTCTTGGATGGACCGTCTCTGACTCAATGGGTTCTTGGTCCGCCAGAAATATCAAATCAATAATAATAGAAACAATATAACGTGTACATGTCAACCGACAGTAATGAAAATAACCGTCTGGAGCTAGTCATAGTTCTATGAACAGAAAAACAAATGTAACAGACATAGGTGTTTGTTATGTGATAAAATGAAATTAAACAATTTTGTAACAAGCAAATGGGTTGTTCATTTAAGGCCAACAAGCCAACTATAGCCTATTAATATACCATAATATATTTGATTATTTTAACACTTGCCACCAGCAGCACCTTTAGTAAACAAATATAATTAATGTTAATCACTTCAAAAACTATAATCCAGAAGACGTTAGCGTAGAATGCCTTACATGGATACTGTGCTCAACTACTGCATATCCTTTCGCATTTAATGAATAAATCAGAGGATTTGGTAACATATCAAAAATCATTAATCCACTGGAAAGCAACCCTATTCCAGATCCCGTGTTAACAGAGATTTAGGGATAGGAAAAGGCACTGATAGGACAAGGGAGATAGAGAGAGAACAGTGAACAGTAACGAGCACTTGTATATTTTGGAACTCTTAATAGATACAATATAAGCAGCCTAAATTTCACATTTTTGATTTTTATCCTAAATAAGTGTTTGAATCAAAATATAAAGTAATAGCACTAGTAAGTTTTTCGGGGGTGATGAGATTGAACATAAGAATTGCGAGCACCAGAGTTTGGTTTCGTCCCATATCTAGAAAACATCATGTAAGACTTACTTACTTATTGTTAGACACTTAGATGGCCTGTCTTCACTCGTTGTGTAGGCCCCAGCATTGTTTCCATTCGTTTGTGTCTCTCGCTAGCGTCATCCACGATGATGGTATTGAGCTGCGGTGACGTCGTTCGCGAGGTCCAGATCCATTGCTCGTTACCAGCTGATATCAAGTGGTCCACCCGTGCAACGAACATGTCAGCACATCTGGTCGTTGGCCTCCCTCGAGGACGTTTTGCTTCGTAAGGGCATTCTTGAGTTTTTAGTGTCCATTTCTCATTATATGACCTCGCACGTCCGAGATCTACGTAAGAAGAAGTCTCTGCGTTTAAACCTTCCGTTTTCTAATCCCCGCAAAAAGCGTTCGTAATCTGGAACTTCTTCCTGTTAATTCCCAGTCCTGCTCGCTTCCCTACTTCCTTTGGTGCTTTCAACATCGTCTCTTTTAGTGATATTTCTCGACAAGAGAAATGTTGTCCTCAAAAAAGGTTCGAGAGGAATCTCCCACATTCGTATACCTCTCCCGTTCCAATGATTTCACCACCCACTGCAAAACGACGGTAAACAGCTTTAGCGACATGTCTCCATGTCGAATCCCTATCAACATTGGTATGTTAAGGGGACGAATGAAAAGCTGTCATTGTAGCAGTCGGTCAATGTCCTCACGTCAGATGGGCCCCGACGAGCGCTGCCAGTGGTATTAGCCTCGAGGCTGTCAAGCGTTTTCTCATAGTCGACCAACGTAGGGACGAGAATGCAGTACTTTCGGCAAACCGCGATAATCCTCGAAACCGTTTGTGATTCACGCAATTAAATCCCTTACGAAATCCAGCTTGTTCTGAAGGTTGATCTTCATCCGGTGTCCTTGAGATGTGAGTGAGAATAATCTTCGTGAAAATCTTATATAACACGCTCAGCAGGCATATTCGCATGGCAGTTCCGAACTCCCTATCGCTTTTTTATGAAAAAGGATTGTTCGGGAGGTTCTCCACTGGTTGGGGATACTTTCCTTTTGAAGGTAAGACGGTAGATGTTCCGC